CTCCTTCGATCTGCTCACTTCATCAACTATCTGCTCTCAGCTCCTCGATCCCAAGCCACGGACCGCCAGATACTCCACGAGCATACCGAGACCTGAATCTATTCGGAAAGAGCCCCAACCGCATCCACTTCCACGGCATGTCAGGGAGCCATTAACCCAGCGCTGTATAGTATTTTCGCGGAAGCCCTTCCTGGACAGTCAGCTGCATCACTGAGAACGCTGTCACACCCGAACATATTCCCGCATTCTCCACGAAGCACTCATAATCGTCTTTCTCTTCATGGTGAACGCAGAAGAGATCGGACGAAGCAACACTCATCAAACCGCACAAGAAGGCCAGGCTAAACGATGTTCTTCTAAAGCACCGGGATACACTTACTCCAAAGGGAGCGCCCACCTCATTATAACTACATATACACACGATCACCACTCGGTCGTGCCAGCCGGTCGCCTCGCCGCCAGCAAAAGGTGCTACAAGAGGAACTTCGCATGCTAGCGCTGGACGTTATCGAGGAATGCGAGTCACCACGTGCCTAATCTGTCGTCATGGTCCTGAAACTCCCATGGATTGATGATTACAGACCGTGCTGGCAGGAAGCAGTCGCACCCACTAACAGAGACTAGACCGCCTTCATAACGGCTTTGGGATTGCACCGTTACAAAAGAATGCCTTTTGGCTTAAGGATTAAGTGAATGCCCTCGAACTATCCTCGTCTACCTGGACGATATCATAGTAGGTACTGTCCAAAGATGCCGAGACGCACTTGTAAGATCTGGCCCACTTAAATCATTGTCATTTGAAGCCAAGATGTAAAAAATGCCACTTCGCAAACTCCAGCAGGTATCAGTGCTGATTTCCGAAGGCATTATCAGTGACAAACAATAGTGTATTTTGCTAGCCCTGAAATTCTGAGACATTTACACATTTTTGTTCTCTTGTGTTGGTCAATCTGGGCATCCAGGTGAATTACACAGCAATGTGCAGTTTTTTCTTACAAGTGCAATTTGCAACTAAAGCCACTACTCCACTAAACTGCACACGTTGGAACACTAAAAAAGAGATTTCCAGAGCGAAGAAAGTGACCATCCCTCGTCACTTTTGAAATTGTAGAGCGGAGGCTTCCACAACCAGAGTTTCTCAGACCTTCTCCGCTTTGGAAATATGTTATCCATTGGCTGTCAACTCACATGCAGCTCACACGAAAATTCAACTTAACGAGCACAATGGTTACAGATTCCTCAGTACGAATTAAAACGCGCTCCCCTCGATTAAATCGGTTTGTTTGTCTTCTTCGTAGAACAGCATGCATTCTATTTAAGCACTGATGTCTAACGTTCTGCTAAACACGAACATTTATACCAGTCCGCTTGAAACAGTTATATTTCGCTAATAGTACCTAACTTTCCTGAATGTCAAAACTTCGCGTTTCGCAACCAAATTTCTTACAGCGATACCTACACTTAAACGTTCCTTTTACGCCAACCTCGCATTTTCTTTCGTAAACGTTACGTTTACGTTCCAACAGCTTCCGCTCGTCTTCAAAACCTTTTTCTATCCTTGCCGTGCAAAAAAAAACCGAAACGGAACCGACCTTCGCTTGAACCCACTAGATTTCCCCCACGCTTCGTCGCTAACCGCAAGCCACTATTCGTATCTATAATCGTCGCCGGGGCAAAAATCGATACGGAACCAACGCAAAACTAACGACTCGCGTCTATTTTCTAGCAAACACGTCTGGCTGTCGCCTACTCGCAATTACTATTCATGAAGAGGTTTTACGCGGTTCGAAAATTATTCTTCTATTCATTAGTACGATCTACTTACGCACTAGAATATTACTATACTTTAGAGATCTTCAGTTGAGAGTTGTCTTGGTTAGATTTAACTTAACGAATTGCTACTTTCCTTTCCCAATATAGGTAATTTCCCTTGTGAAAATGATTAGGAAGGGATATCTTGGAATTCAGCACTTTCCTTCACGAACAGTTAACAATTAACTTGAATTTTACATAATCCTTTGATCAGACGTTCAACGCGAATTCTTACTCATTTTTGGGACACGAATTGAGCAAATGGGAGTTTTTTCTAAACCATTCAACACGCGGTTTAAAATTTTATTTAACGGACCACCTGCTTGGTCCAGCCGCAAAAGAGAACTCCAAAACTTAATTTTTCTGACGCATGCTTTTGAACAACGTCCTTGATCCAGCCTCAAAAACGAAATCCAGAGCCATATTGCGTCAATAAGAACCGACCGGCTGCTGCCAACTGTTTACCACGCATTGAATACGTCAGGGACGTACTTTGTACTTTTCGCCCCCCAAAAAGCAACTACTCGTTTAGGTTACCCATCTTCAGATAGTGCTCACAAGCAAAAAAAATTTTAAAAACATACTACCTTTACATATTTTAAAGCGTTTGAACTTACTCGTAAGTAGATAGAGTACTTTGAAAAATTGTTACATCCGCGGCGTCTTTAATTGTAACAATAAATTCATTAGCTTCCACCGTTGTATAACTACAATACCCAGGTTTTAAATGATATCTGCAGAATTCACCACGAAAACCTCTCCCTATAGTAAAACCAATACCGCCTATTGGAACCCCTACAAATACAATCAATTAAACATTTTGGAATGACCACCTTATTATCCTACCATATATGCCTTTGCCTTTAACCTGTTTTAAAATATCCACTACTAACGGGCGACGAAAAATTACTGTTGAGATAAAATATTTAAGTAGAAATCTTAAAAGCACAATTGTTAACAATTTACACTTTTCAACTAATAAATTTTACCTCAATAATAAAGATAAGTGAGTCCATATATAACTCCACTTCGGAAAAAAACCTGGTAACCAATTTTCAGGGTATGTATGCTCTAATTTCAGTTTGAGGCCGTATACTGAAACGTCAGTTACACGTGTGTCCATTGTTGAAGAAACAGTCACTCGTTGGCCGAATTGTGACTAAACTGTCGAGAAGTTACAAAGTAATTTTAAATCAATAAACAGATTGTAGTAATCTGACAATCGGTATTATCTAGTCTTTCCCTAATCTTTGATAACATGAGTGAGAGAAGCGGCCTTAAATTTACTGTGCAGTGCAATAAACACAGCGATATCCCAATGATGTAAATGCTACGTGAACACTGATCACTTCAATTCATTTCGCCGCCAATATACTACTATTGGACATTCCAGAATTTACACCTCGATTGAGTCATGAATTTCAACAACAATGTATAGCGCCCGCTTACGACAAATAAAAACACAATTCTGGGAAATGTTGTATTTTCTAAGATACAAACAAGTCCGTGAAGTTCAATTTGTGACTATAAGGTTGTACTACTACCGGAGCACATCTCTTGTGTGCTGATATTAGAAATGTATCATTTAAAAAATCCTTGGTCGATTTTTATACATAACGCGTGATTTAGTGCGTGCGTATTCATAATTTCACCATTTTGCTTCAACTTTGGAAAATATAACGAAATATGTACACGATTGTGCGCTTTTTCAATAATATTGTTGATCTGTGATTTCTCATTACCTTAATTCTACATTTTCTTAGTGTTAGAGTTCCTTTATTTACTTCTTTGTCTTGTTGCTAGAGTTCGCGCTTTGTATCTTTCTGCACATATTTCTATCCCCTCTTTTCCTTCTGCTGGCGCGCAGTTGTAGTTCTCTTCCTGTTCCCCTGTTTATCTAGACTACCAGGTTACCTGGTTAATTGCCCCCAGTGACCTGCGTTCCTCTATTCTATCTTTTTCTCTTTAGTTTAATTTAATTCTAGCTTTAATTCTAGTACTTAGCTTTTCGCCCTCGTTGTCCTGTTGGTTTGATTTCTACACTGTCTTGACCTCCTTACAATTTAATTAAATCCTCGTGCGTTATTTGTGTCTTGATAAAGACAAATTCCGCTTGGGCTTCGAATGTAAGTTTGAATTAAGCCTGGACCCGCCTCGCGTTTAAAAGTTAACGAGTTCTTTACTAAAGTAAACTAAGTAAACACAGAGCTCGCTAAGCACATCAGCACTCTTTACCGGTCCGAACACGCGCAAATCCATTTCATAGTATGTTACTAGTGGTATACGTTAACATAGTAAAAAACAATGCCGGACTTTATGATGTATCACAATGTATAAGTTTGAAATTGTTACTTTCACGTTGGTTGCGCGAATGATGTTGATTTTTCTTACTGACTCTTTGATTTGTAGTTGTGTCTGTAGGTTGTTGAGTCATATAAAACTTTACTTTACCTACCGGTCTGTACTATGTGGTAAAGAAATAATATGCAAAACTTAATTTGGGTAGATTTACATTAATAAAATTTGGGAACGTTATGCTCAGCACCAATTTTACATATTCCATGAAAATCAAAATCGATACGTTACCTGAATTATATCTTCAAATAAATGAATACTGTAAAATGCAGGTAAAACGTCGTCTGCTTTATTTATGATGCAAACGTTATAAGTTCGAATCTTAGTCGAAAAACTTAATATACAATTTATGGATGCTCTAATGCAAAATTCAACCACAATTTACTCCAAAGTCTTTCCCCGCAACGATATAAAGAATTGTTCAGAGAAATGCGAACGTAATTCAGTTTATATCATACGTAGAAACCAGACGCGCCTTATCTCACTGTGACATCACAGACAAACGGCTCCTATTTCCACAATTATTACGGAAAAATTTAGTGGCAATTTTTTATGTGCTTACACTGTAATTCCAAAATATACATTTAGGTATCTCAGCTTGCACAGAAACGGAAAACTTATAAGACATTCTTTTTTTCAAGAAAAAAAACCGCTGTGTTCCACGAGGTTCCAGTGCTGAGATCTCAAACCCCCAGACGGATGGGCTGTATTTCTCATAAAAAATACGCTAAAAACTGATAGCGTGGTGTTATCTGTACGGTCGACTATTTTATTGTTCAATGAAGTACGATGTATTGCAAATGAAGTGTACGTGTGGTAGACTATTTACTTACCTGTAAGTAGAAAGAGTACTTTGAAAAATTGTTACACTAGAAGAATCTTTTATTGTAACAATAAATTCATTAGCTTCCACCGTTGAATATTTGCAATTTCCAGGTTTTAGTTGATATCTGCAAAATTCACCACGAAACCCCCTGCCTATAGTGCAACCAATGCCACCTATCGGGACCCCTACAAACATAAGGAGTAAAGCCTCTAATCACTACATCATTATGACTACCATAGATTCGTTTACTCCTTACAATCTGCATGCAATCCATTACAATACAATGACCAAAAATTTTTGATGAAATATAAGCAAGTAGATACCTTAAAAATAAAATGGTTAACAAGTTTCACATAAGTACCATTAACAATTCTACCTGAAAAGCACAGGTAAGAGTGTCAAAAAGTGTTTCCATCTCGATATACAAGGCTGAGGCCAGTTTTCCAGATATTTATGATCCAAATTCAATTTTAAACCGTATTTTGGAATGTAGGTTTCCATTATTCATAAAATACAAAAACACGTCCGCTCTTCTTTGTGTCTCTTATGTCAATCGCGTACGAGATACGGGACGTGCAACGGGCCGGGTGCAATATAATAATTATTGTGGATAAAGCCAAGAATCATAAAATAAATTGGTATTACCTGCTTTTTGTATTTATCTTATCTTCTAATTAATGCTCTGCCAACATAACAGTTTAAAGATGGATTCAAGTTTATTTCAAGTATGAGCTGTTTGTAGTACTACTGAAAGGTCAAGTGCTGTACTGATAACGTAACATTGATTTTAAAGTGCCACATGTTCTCTTATGCAGCTTAAAATCTGAATTAGCAAGGTTAATGCCTAGATAAAAGGTGATACTTTTCATTTAAAAACTCCCGATGGATCGATCAAATCAGCTCTGTATCTTGTAAGCAATACCTTTTCTAATTTTCTAATCACGAACCAAATACACCATTAGTTTATGGCTTCAAAGGGGAAGCTTCAAATTGCACTTTCAAGATTCGTGGTTGAGGTTTTAGCGGGCCAAAAAATCGTGTTGACGAATCGGCAAAATGTAATTCATAGTTGGCATTGAACTACATCCTCTCTAATTTTGACTGAGTTAACCTTTTGGGCCGACAAATAGCAAATGTTCTTCAATCATAAAAATCATTTAAACAAATGTGACCCACTATGGTAATAGAAATAGTTGATTGCGAGTACAGTTAGGATTAATATGTTTCCAAAGTAATTTAGTTTAGACTGATATTCGGGATATTCCTGGAAAATCATACTCCTACATATAATCCTATCAGAACATGATAAGCTATCAACTATGTGTGATAACCTTTTATTGAAGTTTAATACCCTTTATCCGTTTCACACATGCCGACTGTATATGTATATGCAGCAATCGCACTCAATTTCCCTTATTTGAGGGGATGTACATTGAAATTCTTTAGTATAGGCCATTTTTTAACATACATGTTAAATTAATATGAATATTAATTAGGTAAATTTCCAAATCTGTATTACCGACAACATTTTATGTAGGGCAATAATATTGCAGATGGCGCATAAGATGAATATAAAACGTATAAATTTAGTGAATTATTTTATTTTTGATAATGGAATGATTATAATGATGATCGTGAATAAAATCGTATACGAACCTCGACGAAAGGTTATTTTTCTTAGAATATAATCATCCTCGGCGCTGCGCGCCTCGGGTGATTAAAATTCTTCGAAAAATAACCTACTTTCGCACTCGGTGCGTA